CCCCAAGAAGGGGTATATGATTTGAACAATTTAGAATATGTTCCGCCATTGGAAGTTTCCATTTCATTTTTTTTTTTGCCTGGGTGTTCTTCGAAATCGGATTTGTAAGACGCCACCATATTTTGAATCAACTTTGATTAAAATTGCCTCAGTGGTCCTTAAAAAGAAATTCAAAATGTAAAATTTTTAAGCAGACCGACTTCTGACAAAATTTCAAAGTATACCCAATCGTACAAAACATAGATTTTCGTACATATCCCGATAATCTTTACGTTATGTTTTGAAAATATTACATGGAAGGAAATTTCAAATTGTCAAAAATATATATTTTTTTCTTTTTTATTTCAGTATTGAATGGAACTCATTGTATGTAGTATACCTCGAGTTCATCTAAATATACATCAAATAACATAATATCTATAATATCATTTTATTTATAATGTAAGAAAGATATAATTTACCCTAATATAGAAAAGAAATCTCACCCATTTGAAACAAAAGATACAACTGATAAGTAAAATTAGAGGAAAAAAACCCCAAAATTTTCTGTTTAAAAAAATGTTAAAAGTACACTTTTAAATCAATCAATGCAATATCAATTTCTTTTAAAATTACACTTCTTGATGAGTAAGTGAGTTAATTCTTGATATTGTCGCATCCTGAATCTTATGGAATGGTATTTGTTGTAACGAAGATTGATAAGAATCCAGTGATCCCAAACAATCCCAACAGATCTGTTGACAGATACCCAGTACTTGCCAGGAAGGTGAGTACTCTGAGGTGTACATGTACATTAATCCCATTATCATAGAGCAGCAGAGTGTGTAGATGCTGTAGAGATTGTTGTGACCTACTTATCTCACCCAGTCTGTGGTAATTCAGTATAAACAACACGTTGTGGTTCTTTCTGTTCATGCTGTTCTTTATGAATAAAATTTTAATGGTGCTACAATATTTTTGCAACAGTACTCCTTGAACATTTCGGAGGGGGCAGGCCCTTCATTCAATTCTAAAAATTCCTTTACTAAGGGAAAGGTTCTTGAATCAACTTTGGTAAAAAAAAAATGATCAAGTGATTATTGAAGAAGTTGAAAAAGTGAAAAGTTTATACAGAATATTGGATGGACAGACAAACAGCAGGTAATTAAAAATAACTAAAATTAAATTATTCAATTGAAATGAGTTGTAATTAAGCATAAAAAATAAATACATATACGTATACTTTCCGAGTTAATCTGACAGTCTTTAAAGTCAAAATCTGGAAATATCAAAATGGAAGAAATATATAACACAAATATACATCAAGTCTGTAATAAAAAAAAAAAGAATCCTTAAGAAAAGTAGCTTAAATACACATTTAACTTTGATATAATAAATTAAAATAGTTAAAACTCTGTTCGGGGAAGTGTGCTCAATCTTAACAGTGTTGCGTCCTGAATCTTGTGTGATGGTCTTTCTCGTAGCGAAGATTGATAGCAATACAACGCTCCAAAATAGTCCCCACAGATTTGTTGACAGATACCAAGTATTTGCCATGAAATATCTCTAAAATCATTTGGTACATTTACACAGTCATCATAGAGCATCAGAGTCTGTAGATCCTTTAGAGATTGTTGTGACCTGACTGTGTCACCCAGTCTGTGGTGATTCAGTATAAACAACATGTTTAACATCACTAGTGGTGGTATCAATAATACAGGCATGCCATTCTTCCTACTGATCACCTGCTCTAACACTACCTCATCGATGTAAGTGTTCTGATTTTGTAACTTTATTTCTTTAACTACAGCTATTCTTATTATTTTATCCAGGGGCAACCCAGCCATGCACTGTCTGTACTTATTTACATTTATAGTGCTATACATAACATGTTGTAGTGACATTCTCCCCCGTGCTTTTTGTAAAATACTGAGTGAAAGTTCATACCTACGTGCTCTGTAAAAGTACATAGCATGATAAAGAATGTCTGACACACAACCAAACGTGGAAGATACCAAAAGCAACGTTAATATTTTATATGCTTTGTAATAAAACTTATTGCGATATTTATTTGGAAGAATTTTATTTTGAATTAAGAAGGCGCCGCTACGTAAGACATCTGTTGTTAAATACTGTACGGTAACTTTCTGATGTGGTAGTAAGGTTCCAAAAATTATGTTCTTAATGTTTATTAAATAAACTTGGAATTCCTCAATGCTATGGATAGGAACACCTGTCTCTAGTTCTTTAAAGAAACTGATTTCTAACTCCGTGCTAGATATGAAGCTGTCCTCGTCTGTACAAACTCTAATAGTTCTGTATAAAATAACCTTACTGAGATAAGGTCTAAGGGTTTGACTCAATAAAAGACATGATATACCCTTACAATACAAATCATACAACTGACTGAATAGTGATGATTGTGCAGAACCGACTACTTTCACTCTAAACATGTTGTTTTGAGGAATGAAAAAGTTTGGACATTCCCCAATGTGTACCCAGTGTAATAATAATTGAAAACATTTCCAGAAATAAAATACCAAGTTATTAGGTGTCCAGATTAGGGAACCATCATTCTGAATTACCCAAAATACAATTGTTTTTATGAAATATGAACATAGAGTAGTTGCATTATTAAGCATATTAATTACTTCTTTAAGAAAAATTTTGAGAAGACCGTAACACAAAAACTGACAGTGATTCATTGAGTAAACACGTATTTGTTCAGCTTGTGAGAATGACATTCTCCATTCTTCCCCATTTTCAGGTGAGCTGCCGATAGGAACAACGTGTACTCCTCTGCTTAATATTTTCGATAGAACAAATTCGGATGGCCAACCCTCTTGACGACATCTATGTATCCATGGTTGAGCTAATGTTGGCCAGTGATGTGATTGGAAACAAAAAGCATAGTCAGCTTCAACGTGGCCAAGTATATTTGTAGAACACGGTCCATGATGAACAGAAGAGAGGCCAGACCAGGAATTGAGACTTTGTCCATGGGTATCACGGAATAATGCACTAGAAATATAAACTTTGCCATTCATAAACACACAGGATGATCTGACTATTTCGTCATTTGAAGGAGTAATCAGATTAAGTCTGGTAAATCCCGGTGGTAGATCATCACACTCTATCAGAATCACGGTGTGTTGTGGAACACGGTAGAGACTGATCTGAGAGAGATCACAGATAACCTTGTGGTCTGGAGGCCATAACATCCAATCCATATCTGAAGTCCTTAATCTGAATCCCTCACGTTTACTTCCACTCAACATTCTGTCTAGTCCCCGCAGGATATAAATAGGTTTATTCACAACCTCATCAATGTCCATCACTTCTCTCCTGATCCTCACTTCTGTAGGACTCCCTACTTCACGACACAGTCCTACATACACAGCCTCTGATAGCCGAGGTATTTGATTCATTCCAAACTATAATTTGAAGAAATTTGGAAAAAAATGTTATTTTCTCCGTAAAGATGTTAAACGAGACAGCAACACTTCGCAAGTATGTTGGATTTTTCAGGCTTTTGAATTCAATAAAAATCCTTTACATTTAATGAAATATGCTTTTGATCGTTAACACGTTTACCATCGTTACATAAAATGTTTCTTTTTCTGCAGACTAAACGTCATTAATACCTCACAAAAAAGATGGGGAAACAAGGCGTACAGAATGTCTATAACTTAAGATATTAAGAAATCATATTCATTTTGTGAATTAAGTATTTTAATTAAGTTTGCATTGAAACTAATGAATTATGAGAAACAATTTTTTTTCCGAGATGATACCAAAAACAGCTAAACACTATAAGTTAGCATATTGATTTAAAATTATAATATTGCAAAATGCTGGTGAAGTTATAATATACCACGACGTAAATGAAAATATTATCAGTAATGACATATGTTCAGATGTACTCAAAATGGAGAACATGTATACAATTTGTAGCAAAAAGTTGTAAACTTTTATTATAAGATTGCTATTCTAAATACTTTGCAGGGTGTGATGATAACAATTATCCAGACCATAAATCGTTGTCTAGTTTTCATGTATTAAGAATAATCAGATAGATTGAACTAAATAATTACAGAAAGATGAAAGACAGTTATTTTCGCATAGCCACCTGTGTTAGATTGACTTGTCCGGTGAGAGATTGCAGTGTGAGATTTTTCTGTCTCATACTGAATATTATGACGCCGCGAACGATAACGTTAACATTTCGTATTTATATGAAGATATTGTAACAATGTTGAAAAAATACTACATGTACTCTAAATGTTGACATTTAACGTATTAAAATAAACTTATTTTCATTTAAAATATTGGTGTTTTTTTCACTTTTTAAAGGGCACTATTTTTGATGCGAGAAAAATAATCATTCATTACAAACTCATGTGAGAAAGTAAAATTCCACCTCGGGGACAAGATTCACGGTCTAGGACTCGACAAAGTACCGTCCTAGACCGTGATTTTTGTCTCCGAGGTGGAATTTCACTATCCCACACTCGTAGTACTGAATGATATTATTACCCCCCCCCCCCCTCAAAAAAGGAGAAGGATTCAAGAAGAGATGAGAACAATATGAACGTGAAGTCAATCATTGAAAGTTAGATCTGACTCTTGGGAATTGAATTGTGACAATGCTGTAAAGTGTATTTATAAATCTTTGATTTGAGTAAAGTATGTCTGCATACAAGATTTCAGCCTTTTAAGCGAATTGACTTTCAAAGCCGGTTAAAGTTTGCAAGTTTGTCTAAAAAGAAGAGCAAAAGAAGTGAACACCAGTTAACAAATACCGGTAGTTCCAACGCATGACGAAAGTTTGCCCCCTCCTGTACCACTCGAATTAATTCCTATTCTTGATGTTGCTTTTGATGAATATTTATCGGATATTATAGTGAGTGAATTGGAACCCCCTCTGCAGAAATTTCAGAATCTCAATCAGTAACAACCAGGCCTATCGTAGAAACTGAAGTCCTATTCAACAATGACCCACAATTTATTGATTTGAAATTTAACTATGTTGAAACCTTCATAATAAATCAAGAAAACTCCAACACAAGTAAGAAAAATCTAAGAGATGTGAATTTTCTAACTAAAATGAAAGCCGCGATTTGCTTGAAATTCTCTGTGAAGAATTGGACCCGCATTTAGATTTTTAATTTATTTTTGTGTGAAATGCTATTGAAATATATAAGTCGTAATATTATAGAAATCTGTGTCCGTTGAAGTACCTTTTACCGTAACTGAAATAATGCTATCATTTTTAGGTTTTTTAAAGTTATTTTGAAGGCTTGATACAGGTTGATTAATATATCAAATACATAACGTTTGTGATAATTATCGATCAAGGTATTATTATGAAAACTTTGATTAATCGTTATTTAAATATTTTACGTACCACGATTTGCACATGCTGATCGGACACGCTGTCATTTTCAACAGTACATGAACATAAGCTTGTTTATACCTGATGTTATGATTTCAATGTTATAAATATTTCATTCACAAAATATCAAAGTACTCTCTGTAATATATTAGAATATACATTTTTTGTGAAATACTCAGTAAATATCAATCACTTTATTTATGAGAACTCAGAGGTGTTAAAATTCACAACGTCATCATGACGTTCCGTAAAACGTTCGAAATTCATCCATATACTTATGCAATTTTGAATGCAGGAAAAAGTAAAGGACATTGAAACAAGAAAGTTGTTTTGAAAAAAAAATATATAGTCTGTAGATATATCCAGAGGCAAAATTGTCTTATTTTGAAAACAGGCCAATTTTTATACTTTTTGACTTGAGCTCCTTGTAAATCAAGTAACAATCGTTAAAGTTTTCTTTTGCGTGGTTATATTATTGCTCAGATCTCTCACCACAGGTGGGTTGAAGCGTGAGATAATTATCCTTCTGCATAATAGTGTAGGTTCGGACAGTTTGTTTAAAAAAATGAATCAAAACATAGAACAAATTGAAAAAAATGATGATTAAGGAAATTATTAATTACATGAAATATCATCCAAATTTTTAATACATCGGAAATTTTCGACAAATGTAATTGAGAAGTGCTTTGTAAAAAAAATAACGTAAATTTGTAACATCCTAAAAAGAGTAAAAACCGCAACAAAACAAGAGGGGAAGGTTAAATTATTGGGAATTTATGAGTGATATCCAGTTATATTTTTTTTTCATAAAACACACGCAGTTCACTATGATTTCGATCATAATCTCCAATCAAGATATAATTGTTCATATATGTTATAACCTATTGTGACGAAAAATGTGGGGATTCAGACCTTGACATACGGGTTTGTTAAGAAACCATTTTTCTTAAAGTATAAACATCTTCATGTATTAGCAAAATGTTTTCACGACCACTTAAGTCTTTAGACGAAAATCAAAAAAATAAAATGATTTATTTTACATGCTTTATACAATGCTTCTATTGACAATCAGTAGACAGGGTAAAAAAAAAATTTGTTTTTCCCTGCCATCTTTCTGATTTTCACAATGTTAATTATATTAAAACCAATTTAAACATTTGTGTATTTTCGAGCAATACCCTTACTTCGTTGAATGAATACTTCCGCCTTTTCCAATTTTTGGCAAAGATATTTACCCGAAGTATATTTTTGACACAAAAAGGAAATATAGGGCTAGAATTCCGCTCAGTGCTCACAGTAGCTCTATTATTTTTTTTTTTTTTGGAAGGGGGTGCATTTGTTCTGTAACGGTTAATATACATATGACTATGTAATTATATATTCAATATGAAATGATAAATATCACACAAATTCGTATTTTAAAAATGAAAGGCAAACAACATTCACCTAAGTACGTTTAATGTTTTTTTTTATGTATTGGCGAAGAAAAAAGGGGGGAGGACAAAGATTTAACTGAACTGAAGTCAGAATAATACTTTTAGTCTCTCAACGCATCTTTTTCTCGATAGGAAGTGCATACATTCAAGGAATATTTGCGATAACATTTGGATAACACTTGGATAACGCAGTGGATACGATAATAATCTGAAAAAGACTGAAGACAAGTTGATTGCTTTTATATATATGTTAAAATTTATTATAAGCAATGTCGGAACTTACTTTTAAACCACTCTCAGCTCTTTATATATCATCACTTATAATAATTCACTGATATATAAATCACATAATCAATGCAGAAAGGGGAACGGACAATCCCTACCCCCCCTCTCTCTCTCTATCTGGGACATACTGACTACATTAATCGTTCTACCCGACAATGCATGATTTTTGTAATACAATGTACGAAGAATGATAAGTAGGCCTCTAATTAATTAAATGTCCTAAATAGTAATAATGTTTTTGTTGTTTGTTTTTTTTATTTTCTGCATTTTATTTCTCACCAATTGATTTTTTTTTTAATTGGAGCACCAAAATTATTTAATTTGCTATGATCAAGTGCTACGAAAAATTGTTAGTCCGTGACTTTGACGTCATTTTCTGCACAGTCGAGTAGATAGGGAAACCACAAATAGTTTTAATGTAAACAATGATTTATTTTTTAAGAAATTCATAGTCCATATATTGTACTTTCTTACTTGTGTTCTTTATTACTAAGTTGCAGGATAAACAAAATACATGGTAATTGTCTTGAAATATACGCGATATTTGGGATCGGCCCGAAAACATGATACATGTAGAAGGTTCGGCAAGCCTCGCCCTCTATCACGTTTTTACCCTCGGCAAAATATCGCTTATATTTCAAGACAGAAACCATGTATTTAAAATCTTTTTTTTCAGTATAACTTTTCCGAACAAAGCAATTAAAAATTTAAAGCAGGGGAAATTCAACGACATTCGTCGTACTGGCACAAATATGTAGGAGGCTGGTCTCCCACTTTTACCCAGTTTTTCCCTTAGATGATTTTAATTGAAAGACTCTTCTTGGTCTTTTTTTTTTATAAATCTGGATTTTAGACCCAAAAATTAACTTTGTAAAATTTGAAAGCTATCTGCATCCTCCAACCCATAAGAAACTAGTGCTAATTGTAACGGGAACCGTTACAGATGTTCCCCAAACGCTCCCCAACTCCCTTTTGGTGCCATATTCCATGTAAGCCTTATTACATAAGACAACATCTGTGCATTTTTGCCTTTAACAACGTTTTCCCAGAGGGATACCAATTATATTCAAATTTTAACATTGCAGGCGTGCGCATGTGAATGCACGTGCGCAATGATCATATCATCTTGTCTACAATTTTCTATATATTTAAATATACTATATATTAAACCATTTAGTCCAAAAGTATAAAAAATCACTCATTCAAGTGTATTTTTAATTTCACTCGTTCCAAATGTACGCACGTGCGTGCACGTGCATGATGACCATACCTTCTTGTAGGAGGCCCTTATATCTATCTATATTCTAAATCCCATCC